AGCGTTTCATTCCTGTCACCTTTTCTTTTTAGATTAGTTGGATTCAGATGATTTTTATTTATTAATTTTCTGGCGACTTTTCTCATTCTTTTTGTCATCTTTTATCTATCAGTTTCATAATTACCCATCAAATTATTAGGTTTTTCTCATTTGACCACTTGACGGAAGTGAGCCAAAAATAGGATCGTTTAATTTTCCAGAGAGAAAAGCCACGGATGCAACGAGATAGGGTTAAATTTCATTCAACAGGGCGGCAGCGGGGGGAGAGAGGCGTAACTACGCGTGTAATTCCTCGACCGGAACTACCGTGGGCCATGTGGCCGCGTAGACTCTGGTCGTAACCATAAAGCTTGGAAACACAGCGAACAGATACAAGTTAACCTTCTGCCTCTCTCTTTGCTGGAGTAACCATTTACCATTGGAACAGACAGGAATAACACCCCGTCTCGAATGTTTCTATTCTTTAATTGCATCATATTTCAAATGTTTCAGAATTTTCTTACATCTATCAGAGCAGACTTTTAATAATTTTACATTTGTATGTTGTAAGTGTATTAATTGGAGAGGTTAAAAGATGAGAATTGGATAAATTCGTTTATTTTTTCAATTGTATCATATCGAGTATCTGGAGAATTTTGTGTTAATATTTTTTTCTAAGAAAACGTGGAAGTAAAAATGTAACATTGAATTTTTAGATTAATTATAAAAAAATTTGGAGGGTGGAAATTAATGTGGTAATTATTTTTCATGAGAGGTTAGGTTAAGCTGAAGTTATAAATAATTGTTTTTCTTGTTGTGCTTTTTAAGTTAGAAATTTAAGGTTAGGTATGGAATGGAATTCTTGATTCAGTTTCGAATTTCTGGGTTTCAGTAGATCGTTGCGCGTAAATTGAGTTCAGTTGATATGTGTGGTTTATGTTTATAAGAGGCGTAAACGTTTATCGTTGCTTTTTATGCTCTTTGTTTTTCTTCTTTTTTTTATTCGACAGTTTACGTGTTTTTGGATGAAAGTCGGTAAGGAATTCTGAAGGTTTCAAATGGACAGTAATATTGAGAAATGTCCAATCAAAGTTACCTTCTCTTTCTGAAAATCGAGCTGTTTCCATGAAAAAATAAAAATGAAAAATATCTCGAAAATTAAAAATTCATGTATCATAACCTAAAATTACTGAAATTAATTGAAAAATTTATAAATACTTGGAAAAATAAGTAAAAAATAACGCCCGACAGAAAATGCCTCGCAACTCATAAAAAATGTAGAAAATTAAATAGAAGAAAGGCGAAGAAAAATGCTAAAGGCGCTTCAATTATAATACAAATAAATACAAGTCGTTTATTTCCTTAATACGGTCTTAATTACACTATGTCATTAGCTATCATTCGTCCAGCGTGTCGAACCAGTCTTAAAAGCGTGCATCGTCGAAATTCTGTCTAGATTTCTCTAGAATAGTGTGCAATTGACGTCCAAGCCTTGGAGAAGGTGTCCAAGGTAATCGACGCCCTAGACGTGGCGCGAATAATGGAGGAAAGATTTGTTCCTCCGCATACAATTCCTCTTGGTCCCTTGGAAAGCCGTACGAGAAGAATTCCTCCCCTGATTCTCTTCCCAAACGAGGAGTAAACTGTGTTGGTTGCCTTTTCTCTGCTCCTGAAAGTAAATTTTACGAGGAAATTTCATCGTTCTTTTCGATGAAGAAATCGATAAATGTCGATAATAATTGAGTTATTCCATGTGAACGATAACAGATGGCACTCATATGCCTCTTCTTATGAGGAACTCAATTAATAAGATTAACTTTTCTTAAACTAAAATTAGCAATTGAAGACTACATTCGCTGCACTTCTCTTTGCTTTTCTGTAGGTTGTGTTACGTCACGTTGTAATAAAAAATAGATGGAAAATAAATTTTATCGTATAAAGGAAAGGTTTATTAATTGATAGGTTATGTACACGTAAATTCAAAAATCTCGAAATCTGACAGAAATATTATAACTGTCCAAAAAGCAGTATTGGATAACAAATAATATACAAACAAATCACAATTAAAATATCTTAGTCTTTTAAAAAAAAAAAACTGCAAAATCGGAAAATTTTGGATCTTTTTCTAAAAAAAGATAACAAAAAAGAATCCCGTATACATATGTATAATACCTGGAATACTGATGACGGCCCAACGTGAGCTGTCAAGCACGTTGGCAAGAGCATCCAAATCAGCGTCCGATTTCCGGTCTGCTCGACGTCGACGTCCAAGCCTTGGTCCAAACCACATACCACTGGTGATATCCTGCGAGGTACGCTTAATGCACTTGCCATCGGTGCACGAGCCAAATTCGTTATTCGTCACTCTGTCGTTGCTTACACTGCTCAACGAATCTCTGCCTTCTATTGAAAGAGATTAATAAAATACTGGATAATTTTTAGAGGTGTGTGAGAAAATGAAAATATATTCCAATATTTCGATATTTCAAACATTTTGAAATACCAATATTCCAAAATTTCAGAGTTCTCAAATACCAAAATTCCAGAATTCGAAAGTTTCCAAATTCCAATATTTCAAAATACTAAAAATCCAATTTTCCCCACTGTCAATTGAATGAAATTCATGTTCATAGAGGAACATACCGTACTCGCCAGAAGCCGAGGACAACAGGTAGACCATGCAGACCACTACGAAGATAGGGGTAGCGCGGCAGAAGGGCGGATACACAATTGAACCGATCATCGCTTCTATCGAGTGCACCTTATCGCGAGACTTGTCGGCGAGTGATGTCGATACGGTGTTCACCAGCAGGTTTTATAGGGGTGCAACCTACCCTTTGTCTTCTCTTACGTTTCTTCATTCTTACCTTTCTCTTTCTCACACTTGATCCCTCTTATTCATTGATCTGTTATTTTTTTCTTTTCGTCCACGTCGATTTCATTGGAATGAACGGGCGTGTACGCAAACATCCACCCCCAAAGGAGGCCAATCTTGACGGCTCACGGAGCGATTTGTCTCAATTTCAATCGAGATCCACACTCCTCCATACCTAATGAGGATCCTGGACGCGACTTGGGAGAACCAGACTCTGCAACTACCCCCGTGTTTCATAGTTTTTTTTTTGCATTTTTTCTTCTATTACTTTGTTAGAAGATCGGCAAGGATAGATTCATTGAGTCCCTGCTATGGGATTTGCAGGAATTTTATTATGTTTGTTTTGTTTGTTAGACTTGATGTGTGTGCATTGTTTGATATTGTGCTTTATTTTAGTTAGATTTGGAAAAGGTATGAGAAAAACAGCCACAATTTTATTTACTAATACAGATATTTATTATAAACTTTATCTCCTAATGTCATATAACATATATGCATATTGTGATACTTCTATAGTTCTTCTATTTTGGGAAGGGTGAATAATGGTTGTGTATGTTTAACTATGAAGTTTTATGGATATATGTTTAATAGTAATTGCATGTACACATGTGTCATATGTAATTGATAGTGCCAGTAAGTTATTATATTGACAATCTTAAAGTTTTTGTTTTCTTTATTCAATATTAAAGTTGAATGTCACTATAAGTCAATTTTATAATTACAGTTTACAGATTTTATCTAATGAATTCATATTACAATTCAGTAATACCATTCTCTCTCATGTAAATCCATTTTGAAATATCAATATTATACTTTGATCTTCATACTGCAACATAATATTAAATTCAACCTCTCAAAATTCATATCACAGCTCAATACCACAATAGTTAATACCATTTTTTTCATACCTAACCTTAATACCTGTCGTTTCTTATAAACAAGATCAATTTTCATCTACAAAATACCTAATCCCATATAGCTCAATTCTCATAAAACAAATTTGCTTATCTGATAAATTTCCAATTCAAAAATATCCAAATATTAAGGAGCAATTACCAATCAATGATTTCGCAAGAATCTAAAAGGAAACAAATGCACGTCAAGTGACTTGCAACATCGTTCAATCTCCAACTTTGTAAAAAATGAAAATAAAAGTCCACGCCTAAAGGACGAGGAAGTGAGAAACAAAGGAAAACCTTCGGCGCCTTGCGCTCCCTGTCGCGCGTAACGAATCGAAGTCGACGGGCGGACAATCTGTTCTCGATTAAGCCTGTCAATTAACCAATTCAATTTCGGGATCAACGAGATCGTGGGACGCAGAGAGAGGGTACAAACGCTTCGTATATAAAAGGTCGACTGTGCTTTGTTCGCCTATTGACGCATTTATCAGCTGATCGTCCTGTGATCGCGCGATTTTATCTCCGTTGAAAGTGTACTTACAGTTTATGGATAAGAGGGGAGTAGACGATCGAGACATTCGAGATTACCTGAAATTTTCATGTGAATTTTTGGTTTAGAGGTTAATAATATTAGAGAAACAAAAACACAGATACAAACTGTACAGGTTAGTGAAGTTTATTGACTGAAATGAAGAAGTTTCAGCGAACACGTGTTTAGAAGCGATTCGTTTCAGAGATAATTTAGTTTTTCAATTCGTAACCTAACCTAATTCCTTATTCGACTGAATATTCTGTACGTGGTAGAATACGCTGTCACGTGTCATGAAGATTACTGCGTTACGATCGAACGAAAGTTCGATGTATCAACGATACACGCACGACAATTGATCTACGTATGTATGTACTATTCGTTCGGTGCACATTCGTCGTTACCGTGATCCTTCACGTTACACGAATGTCAGTATACAATGGCTGGTGACACTTGTGATGACACCGAATCAAGTGATCATTTGAAATTCAAGATCTCTGAAGTTATTAATTTCCTGCTATACATTGATCGAGACTTTTTTGTTCCTTTTCAGCGAGTCTCGCTAACCTGTAGAGTTTGTACTGTCTGTGCTTTTGAAATACCTTGTATAGTTGAAATAAATATTCTTGTGTACGAATATTCAGTTTTCAGTGTATCGTAGTAAGTATTCGCTGTGAAATATTTGCGAGATACTAAATTCGAACACTCGGACAGAAGACATAATCCATCTTAGAGGAGAACAGCATTGTTTACGTATGACGCACAGTAGTTTCGGAGGGTAAATAATTTGAAGGAAGATTTGTAGCGTTACAAGCGTATAACAGACCTCATTTGCTCCTTTTCTCGATAACACCTAACCTAATAAATCCCTATTTCTAAATACCCCAAATTCCAACGCTTTAACATCTTCTGTTTGTTAGAAATTTTTAAAAAATTCACGATTATCGATAATAAAAAAGAATGCGTCTTTATAGGTTCAAATCAGGTTGCCAGAAAATGTCGAACAAAGTAAATAAAACATTACACTGAGAAGTAAATGTTGTCTTTGTTGCGTGTCATTGGACAACAAAGAAAGAGTATCGTTTCGAAGAGAAGCAATTAGGTGGCGGCACGACACATGCTAAGGGCAGTTTTTCACGAGCAGCCTAAGTGGCCGAGTCGTTGCCCGTACTTGGTCGTTCTCGCGTTATGGTACGTGGACCTTCGATACTTGTCAAAGCAAACAAACGTTCGCTTCATACTTTTTTCCACCATCTCGTGTACACATTTGGTTCTCGCTACACACACTTATACGTATATGTATACATATATACGTATGTATGTATATATATATGAGTGTAATTGTTCCTACAAGATGCCACTTCGAAAATATTCCCACGTAAGAAAGGCTTTTTCTTTTATTTTTCGTTCTCTTCGTTTAGTGTCCATTTGTACGAAATATGAAAAGGGGGGGGGGGGAAGACGAGGTTAGGTTGAACATACTGTACACGCACTTGACGTCTTCGTAAATGCTTCTTACTCTCGAAAGATCTAATATTAATTTTTAGTTTTACATACGAACGATGATACTGAAGATAAAACGAACGAGAGGTTCTTATTGATCAATTAAGTGATTGATAGTAGTAACATTTTTTCACAAAATAACAAAAGAAACTGAAACTTTTGCTCTCTGTGTAACAAACCTTTGGTACTTCTGTTGAGTATAGGTTAGTTAATCGCTACACCGACCATCTCGAGATACTATCTAAAATGAAAAGTGGATTTCCTAATCAACGGTAAACAGTTAGGGATGGAAGATCGAAATCACAGTTTCACATATGCCCGAAACGAAATGCAATATATCAATCTTTGTTTGACAGAACACTGAAGACAGCATTGGAAGAAGAATAGAGTGCTTCTCGTAGATTTCGATCTCTTTTCGCCTGTCGGATGAGTTCACACATCGTATGCCTCATTTGTTATTTCACTCGAAATATCTTTAGCTGCAAAATAAATCGATTAAAACAGTAAAAAGAAATTGGAAAGCAACGGTAGAGAATAATAAATTCGGGGGCCCTTTTGTGCATAATTCCAGTGGCATTGCAGGAGCTTCGTGGTAACATTTTGACAAGAAAGCAACGATCTCTTGGTCGCTACCGAGAATAACCGAGTTCCTTAGGTACCGCGGAGTGTTTATATCGTCGATTCAGAGGTGTTCTGCGCTTCGTCAACCGAAGAGTTTACAAAGCGGTACCGATCCACCTTCTCGTGTTTAACACCTTCAACAGCAGCACGTGCCTCTGCTTCCCTGCTCCTTTTACAGCTTGCTTTGTTCTCCAAACAAGACGAAAATTTCCACGTTTAAATTTAAACGAAGGAAAATTAGGTAAATAAATCATACTTTGCTTCGTGCATGTAGAAATGGACGAATCGAGAGGGAATCAGAAACGATCCTTATTCTGTAACAATGGATGATTTCTGAAAAATGAAGTGTACAAGATACTTCAATGAAGAGGATACAAGAAATACAAATGTCTGTTGTAAATTCTTTCAACGTCTCGCGAATACTGTCCTCTTTTTTTTCCCTGGTCCGTTTCTCTATATTCGGCATTTGTTTCTTTTGTGCATTCACATTACAGTTACTTTTGAGAGGCGTACCAACGTAAGTAAACCTGTGTATTTCTTAAATGTAACACATTTCTGTCCCTTATGTAAGTATTTTGTTCGGCTTTAGAGAGTGTGAAATTTGGTGAAGCAATTTGCTAGTGAAGAATGTTGTTTTTATAAGGTGAACATTAAGTAAATAAACTAACTTTTGGTATTTTATTTGGTTCGATCGTTGGTATTTTATTATTTAGTTAATTTGGTATTTATCTCGGATTATTTTTTTTTCGTTGGTGAGAAAAGCAGTGGAATTTATAGGTTAGTTTGGTAATATTGTATAAGCTACTTGGTAATTTTTTTTAAAATTACACGGTAATTTTTATATTTTTTTTCTATAAATAAAGGTTATTCGTGCCAATTTGTATTTCGAAATACGTACACAAAAGTAACGTGGAGGTTATTTTTGTGTCTCAATTTAGAAGAACTTGAAAAGTGTTAGTTAAGTAAACCTAGTGACTCGTATATGTAGGTAGTACGAATTGATTCTCGAAGTATTAATTATTGAAATAAAATATATTCCGAAGATGACTTTTACACGTGACGTATGCAAACTGTCGAAAAATCAACATTTCTTTAAAGAAAGAGTACTCGTATACAGTTTTTATCATTCAAGAATATCGAAAATGCGAAAATTCCGATTTAATTTGATTTTTCTATCAAATATTTTACAAAAATTGAAAATATACAATTTTAATACAATACAATTTTTTCGGAATTCTATTTCAAATATGGAAACTTTATGAATAGTGGAATAGAAATTTGTAAAAATTTTTGCGAACGGTATTGCTTGAGTAGATATCAGCAATGAGATAGCAAACTCGGGACTCGATGCCGGCACACCGATTGATGACTGTTTGTTTATGGGAATGTACGTCGAGTGGCGCTACATTATGGCTGCATACATGCGTACACACTCATCATGGAAGTTCAGGACGTATTCTAAGGCGAGACTTCGCATGGTAAACACTTTGATTGACTTCGTCAATCACCTAGAAGATTTTATAATAGTTTTGTCATCATTAATTTATTCGTTATGTATAAATAAATAGAAACTTGCGATATATTACCGACACTATACTTCTTCTGACAGTCAATTTAAAAATAAAAGTAATTGAAAAGTAATCATTTTATTACTGGATAAATATATCTTACAGATTAAGGATTAGTAGAATTAATTGATAAAAACATAATACTTTTTTAAATATATTACGGAAAATTATAAATTGTTTCTGGTGCACGATTCAATCGTAATGTTATTTTTACAATATTCGACTGTTAAAAATGTGCAAATTAATTTCAATTCCAAAGAATATACTCTTCATTTAATCGTCAATAATTCCTTCGTTTATCAGTTTATAATAACCTCAAAATTAAGCTGACAAATGAGACGGAGCGACGAGGACAACCAGTTTACAATATACAGAACCGACGATGTCATCGGTATGAAGTTATCAAATCGATGTAAACATTGGATAAAAGCGTCTTCGAAAGATGCCGCAAATATTTAGTCTTCATTGATCACCCGACGACTGGTCGTTTATTTGACACCAATAGATGAAATGAAAAATTGTCAACGATGACAAGACAGACAACAACTGAAGAAAAAGTTAAAGTCGATTAAAAATCAACAGATAAAACTTGCAATTTCATAGAATTTAATTAAAGTCGGTGTAAAAGAAGTTAGGTTACAAATGCAGACACGTTTGTTTTTACTCTACCTGTCAGATACCTGTCATATACTTCTATACTTCATCATATTGTAGATTATCGTTAAACCTGTGTCCGAAATATTCTCTCTTTCGATCGAAAGTATTTCTACGAACGTCATAAAATCACATCCGCAGACATGATTCTTTGTATTCGGCGGGATCAAAAGTCCGCGACGCGAAAAATGTTTCTGCGTTCAAAGTAGAAAATCCTGCTTCGACCAGTCGATAATCTAGATGTCACTCCTTCCGATTTTCACTTGTATCGATTAACGGTAAGGCACCCCATCTAGTACACTTTAGAAATGCGGAGTGAACTGAAAGTTGAGCGAAAGAACGTCACGATTTTCCGTTGAAATATCTAACTTTTTAGTCGAGAAGTGATAAAAGGTCGTTGATAGTCGATCGAAAAAGAGTGTAATACATTTTCATTTCAAACGAGGAAGATTTTGCTTCGGTAGAACGAACGAACTCTTGCACACCGACCTAATACGTTTAACCGACGAAACGCGATCTGTATCGAGTTGCATAACAAGTGGTGTGTGCACCGCCGTTCAATTCTGAAGACGTTTCACGACACTAGCAAGATCACTTTTGTTTCCGAACGTTCTTATACGAAATACTTTTCCAAAAATGTTTCCGATATAAAAGTGAGTTCTATTGTCTCGATAGTTTTCTTTTGGTAAATTCTCAGCGATTATTAACGGAGGATAGACGTGTTATTCTATTTTCAGTTGTTTTAACCAAGGAAGATAATTTTGAAGCAATTCTTGAAAGTAAGAAGGAAGAGATGACGATGTTGATGCGTGGGAATCGCAGAGGGGATCTTCTTCTCTTCGAATGGACGTATCAGCGACACGCGAAGATTAAGAAAGCTGTGTTGGATCGAATACTGGCGCCAGGATATCCAGGAAAGACGAAACCGTCGCCATTGAACAATGCTTTCTCAGCGTGTATCTAAGGGAAACACGTTTTCTACGCAACGTCGAGAAGGCCTTGTGTCATGCCACTTGAGGGGGGAAATCTGCGTGTCCCTAACCTTCCCGTCTGTTTACAACCTTAAACCTTCGGATATTGTTCCTCCATTTAAATGAGGGGACGCACCACGTGTTATTTTTTTTTCTTTGACCAATAAAAAAACGGAATTTTTTGTGGAATTAATAAATTGAGTGAAATTCATTCAGGTTTGTATTCATTTTCGATGTTGTCATTTCTCTTCCCTTTTTTCGAAGATATGGAATTTTTTAAAAATAACAAATTTAGTACAATTGCTCGATATCGATATCTGTGGAGTTTTCAAAGTCTGTTTTCATAAATGTTAGGTTATAACGAATGAATTTTCTATCCTCTTTCTTTGGTGTTTAAGAATGAAATATTTGAGGGGGAGATGAAGTAGTCGAGAGGTTAAGTGACTGTATACTCTATTTATTGCTAGTGACTTTTTATACATCGTTGAGGGTACTTTATACAAAAGTTTACAAGCATCTTAAAACGATCGATTCGCTTATAACTAGGATCGATGCATCAACGAGAAAACGAGTAAAATATTCTTGGGTAATAAAGAAATTTTGAATGCAATTAAAGATTGTAGCGAAATCATATTGCACTTAGATAAGCTAGGTTATTTTGGAAGTCATACTTCAACGAAATTCTTCGAGAATATACTTCGATGCTGTGTTTTTTTTAGTAACCTCGTACATTTCAATTTTTAACATTTTGTACCCGAAATAATTCCACTATTTTTAGCCATTCGTTTCGTCGGTTAGGTTAGGTTCGACGAACAACGTCAGATGAAAGGTTGATGCAATAATTATCGACTGAGAAACGAGACACCACTATTTACACGCATAACGTACAGACACACAACGCGTATTTACAAACGAACGCTTATATTTTACATCAGACATGTCCGTGATCGCGGCTCACAAACGAAACTTCAAGTAGATAGTAAATAGAAGTGAACCTGGATGAAAAATGTCAATGATATAATATACACAACAAAGAAGAGGAAAGAATGGAGAAATTTCAACATTTCATCGATTCACATACATTCTCGCGTTTCGTTAAAATTCTACTTACGCTAATGATGCAATTTTTAGGCTAATTAATCGTACCTCGTCGTGTAAATAAATTAAATTTCAATATCGTTCTATCTTACTCTTACTATTACGTAACATTCTCTTCGGTTAACCTGTTAACCTAAATATTGTTTCTCAGTCAGAAGAAAATATGTAAAAAATTTTGAATAAATGGGCTTCTCGACTTTCAAACTCGTGTCTCGCAGTTAACAGGTTAGGTTAGGAAAATCAAAGAGAATTTAAAATTCACACTCGCTATTCAATATTCTCTAAACGTTCCGTAATTGGCTAAGAAAAGTCGCGAATATTCGACGAATCTTCCTGGTATACCCACCACCAGACACGGTTTAACCTTCCGTTTGATTCGTTCGACGATAATTCGTGGCGCAGAGCAGAAGCCAGCGGTGCGTCAGAAATAGATAGAGATCGAGAGAGATTTTATTGCATCTGGTTGGTCGGTGATTCCTGCTTCAATTCGAGGGCCCACATGTGCTGTGGCCATCCAGTTCGTCCTTTGCTCTTCGACGATTCCTCCGTGCCTAATCCCGACGCTTGATGCAAACACGACTCGTTCTGCAATGGAAAACAAACAAATTCCACACTTCCTATATGTATATTTACGGATTTACAATGCGTGACTCATTTTCCTGGAGAATTTTTTATAAACGAATTTACTTGCAAATAAAAGTCCAGGCAGTTTCCGAAGCGTAGCCACGAGAACTGTACAGGTTAGCGGAGTTTGTTAGAAAACAATTTACAATTGACTGCGATTCCTTTACAAAGCAATATTTTCCCAGATATGAAATTTCTCGGAGATCGCAATTCCATCGAGACGATTTTTTTTTTTAAATTTTGCAATTCCAGCGCCAAGGAGGTTTACAGGGAACAATTTCACCGAGAAAGAAAAGAGATTCTTCGGGTCGATCGCAATTCCTTTGCAAACGACCTCTCGCGAGAGAGGAAATTCCCGACTGTTTGCAATTCCACCGAAGGGGCGTTTTTGAGGGGGCTATTGTGGGCAATTCCAACGCAGGAGAAAGGCAAATCTTCAGGTCGATCGCAATTCCTTTGCAAAGTAAACTTTACCAAGAGGTGTTGACGCTTTTTTTTATGCATTTTTGATACATGTTTGTGCGAAGTTATTCTAAGTAATACATACTTGTGTTAGGTTAGGTTATGTAATTTATACTAGTTATATTTTATTAAAATTCTATCGAGTGTCTTATTGTAACACATTATAGGTTATGTTTATATCATGGTCTACGCTTACACGATACATTTTCTATATGTAATTGAAATCGTTAGAGGTTAACGACCTTCGAAACGAAGGAAATTCGTCGTGTGTGGCGAGGGTGAAGCAGAAAACAAGGGAAAACCACGAACTACAGGGTGGTCCGATATTAAGTACGTATTTATCTCCGAAGTTCAGTGAAAACGATTCTAACCTATAACGAGTCAAAATGCTGGTGTGCCAACCGCAATCCATTTCCTTTCCGTCGATTCGAAATGAACGAAATATATCTACATAAAAAACTAGATAATTTTTTTCTAACCTCGAAAAAATCGTCCCTGAACAGGTTATGTACGAAAATTCAATTATTCAGACCTCTGACAACGCTGTTTGACACCTCTGACATTATAAAGCATCGTATATAACACTTAAGACGCGTAAATAGTCGAAGAAAGAGCTTGGTTGAGAATTTATCGAGATCCTTCGTAATTTCTCATCTCTACGCGCCGCCGCACACGGAAACGAATTACTTGTTCAACATCGATAAAATCGTTCTGTCACAACACGGAAGGCGAAGAATCACGTTCGCGCGCTTCGTCTAAGAAGAAGCCACGTGAACGCGATGAGAATCTTTCCTCTCTCTCTCTCTCTCTTTTTCTCTCTTTGAACGCTATGTACGAGGTTATATACTTACTTACACACGATGACGAGTTTAAGGTCGAGTTCTCAAGCGTCGACGAACGAGGCCCAATTAAAGAGGACGATGTTTATTCGAAGGCAACACTTACGAAAGTGTTCCAGGAGATATAAGTGAAAAGAGTAGTACACTACTGTAGCAGGGAGACGTGGATCGCTGTGAAAAGCAATTCGTGCGTCTCGAGTATGCACTTAAAAAAAGGTACAACCTTTTTTTTTCGAACTTTCCGAATAGAGAAGGTTTTTTTGGGCGAATTTTCAATTCAACGAGTCGTCGACGATGCGTCAGTTATTTTGCAATTTTTAAAATTCGCGCGGTTCGGTGAATTTCGAGAATAGAATATCGGAGAACTGTGGAAGAGTATGGAAATGTATACGAGTGGTTCGGTAATCGTGGCGCAATCGGGAAAATGGCGATTTCTCGCGGAACAACAAGGCGATATCGCGGAATGTTGTTTTCGCGTACGATGCATTATTTTTGAGGTTTGGGAATTTCGAAATTTTGGAACCGTGATATTTTGGAGCTATGGAATTTCAAAACATCGCAACTTTGGTGTTTCCAAATTTCAGAATATCGGAATTTCAGAATAAATACCACACCTAACACACCAATAACCCTAACACTCGCGATAAAACTGACGTTGAAATTCCACACTTCGACCAAATATATCTGTTCACGAAGAAAGCAACACGAACAAAAAAAAAAAGAAAAAAATACAAAAAAACCAACCTGATTAACCTGACCCGTCTTGTTCCTCCTTCCGTTCGACAAAATCTCCGCTCTGAACGTCTGTGGCTCCTCTCCCTCGTCGCTCTCTAACACCGCCATCAGATATCCAATGTAAGAGGCAGCCAACCGCAACGTCTTGATCTTCGACAGCTTCGTATCAGCTGGTACATTCGGTATACAATCTCTAAGATCCGCGAAAGCGTTGTTTATACTCTGTGTCCTTCTTCTCTCCTTCTTATTAGCCGTGTTTCTTCTCTTCGGTCTCACCACCACTCCACCCTCTCTGATACCTTGTCTGAGGTGTTGCTCGAGCGATACGTCCACTTGATTTACAGAGGAGACATCGGAATATTCACCGTCCCTTCTCTGCGTCTGTTGATGATGATGATGATGATGATGTAAATGATGATGAGAGACCTCTTGTTGCGGTTGATAGACTAGATTGGCGTAGTGCTGATTTATCGTCGGATGGGAGTATTGTTGCAGAGGGGAGTAACTCGGTTCTTGCACTCCAATCTCTTCGATCAGGGGTGGCGTAGAGGCGGTGGGACTCCCCGCGCCCGAACTACCCCCGGAGATCCCTGAATCCGCGCCCCAGTACGTTGATTGGCTGTCCGCGTCGGGAACGTTCAGCGGACCTGCGACGGAGAAATGGTGGACTCTTATTCACTACCGTGTCACTCTATCGTCGAGCGTTTCGGTTTTTTTCTTTTTTTTTTTTTTGGTTATGTCGTTTCGCAGGAATATTGAAATATGTGAGAAGAATTTTCGAGTGTTTTACTATCGGGGGTTTTGATTATTCTAGACAAATTTTTGCTATTTTTATTTTTCATAAATAGGGTATGTGAGCGTTTCTTTTTTTTTCTTTTTTTGGTTATGTCGTTTCGCAGGAATATTGAAATATGTGAGAAGAATTTTCGAGTGTTTTACTATCGGGGGTTTTGATTATTCTAGACAAATTTTTGCTATTTTTATTTTTCATAAATAGGGTATGTGAGCGTTCCTTTTTTTCCTTTTTTTTTTTTTTTGGTTATGTCGTTTCGCAGGAATATGGAAATACGTGAGAAGAATTTTCGAGTGTTCTACTATCGGGGACTTTGATTATTCAAGACAAATTTTTCGTATTTCTATTATCCATAAATAGGGTTAGGTTAGGTACGTGTAATGTTTGGTTAGGTCGAGTTATTTTCATATTAATATTTTAGAACAATGTTTCTACGGTTGAGCAGGGCAGGTGTGTGCAATTTTTGGTTATTTTGCCTGTATGGAAAAGGTGGAAATACGTGAAAAGGTGTGTATTATAGGTGTGTGTAACTTTCGGTTATTTTTACGTGTTATTATTTTAGTAAAATTTTCAACACTTTCATTATCAACGAACAGAATCCGTGTATATAATTGTAATAGTTATATACAACAAGGTGAACAACATAATCTGATCACCTCTATTATTTTCATTATTAGCGGACCGGTCATAATTCTTCCTCGTCACAGAAAATGAAATATGCCTTTGAAGAACCTCCAAAGTGACGTTAAAATTTTCAAGGTTATCTCGAACATCTTCTACGCATGACACTATATAGTTCTCTTTTTCGACGAACTTAATAAAAGCTATTTTTCCTTCAGTTCAGTGTAAATGATACGGCTGAGTTTGTACAAGCTGAACGACGTGCAATGCAACTGCACGATGGGAATATATATACCAATTTATTTCTTCGTCGTTCATACAAATGCGTAGGAATTGCTGATCGGCATTTCGAAGACACGGTAGTGTAAATTTAAACAAGTTCCAAGCTTCAGATTGTTAAGATATATATATAATACATAATACATACAACATATAATGTCGCTAATCTCAACGAGCGAAGTCTGAATTTTCTTCGAAATCGACAATTTGCAATTAGAAGGCTTGCAAAGCGAGAAAGGGAATAATTATCCTTTTAGCTACGGTAGGACTTTCCGTGGAGCTGTAGGGGAGAATCGTGCAGTACCGGCCAAAGCTAGATCTCGCTTATACCGTTAGATGATTGCACTATTGATGGAAAAACGAAGGAATACTATAGCCCTGAGCAACGTACGTATTCCGGCGACGTTCATTTTTCTTCAGTACTACCAGAGTTCTAAGGCGTTTAACGTTTACGCTGGTGTTCCGTACGACGAAAGTTATTTTTCACAGCTGCAATGATCGGGCTCGCGTGGAGTGTACAGATCAAGAAAATATCGATCAAATTTACAATTTTCCTCGCGATTCCCATAAACTGCAATTTTTTCCAAATTTTTTTGTACACGTCATCTAGTAAACTAATCTTTCTAACTTCTCAAAAGAACTCAAGTCGTTTGGTCCAATTTAAAAAATGTTATTCCGTTTTGTAGGGTGTCCAAATACTTATGGACGGTAGTGTATGTGGCCCGGGAAAAAAAAAGGTTGAGTATGGCTGGTTTAGAGTGAAGGCATACGTGAGAGCCACTTTAGCGGCGTACCGTTCAAAAAGGTAACATTCGCGACAAGCCACTGTAGCGGCGTACAGTAGCTAAAAGGTTGATATCACAACTCACCGTAAGGTAACTGAGTGACATAATTGTAGGGTTGATGCCACTGTGGATAGTAATCCGGCTGCGCCTCGTATCCTCCCAGCATCATCGCGACTCCTTTTTCCACCAACTGTCACACCGTGTCACGAAAGGGAAACTTTCACCGATCACCTCGAAACAAGGCAATTCCAGTTCTTCAACGGTGTGCCCGAAATGAAACTCCGAATCTTCTCACACCATTTGTACCCGAACGAAGTAGCAACTCTTCGATCGGTCGATTCTTCGCGAGACAATTCCGCTCTTCGTGCTTTATCCTTCAGTTCCCAAAATCTTCGTTCGCGATCGAGGAATTGCGGGATCTCGAGGCAATTGCGACTCCGCTCGAAGATCGCAGAGGAGACGATTTTTCTAGCGGCAATTCCGCCGCGAACGAGGCGCGTACGGGGCGAATTTAGAATGCGCTCGCAACTCCGCTTCCGGAAGGGAAGGTCGTGATTCCGCGGGGGGAGGGGGTTTGTTCGGCGGCAATTCCACCGCGAAGGAAGTCTGCGACGCGCAATTCCACTACGGAGGAGGCTTGCGACGCGCAATTTTGCCGCGAAGGAGGCTCGCGACGCACAATTCCCCGGCGAAAGGAGGCGAAATGTTCAGATTGTCGGCAATTCCTCTCGAAAAGCGATCCCTCCCGACGAACAAAATTTCCAACAGATCGCAATTCCACCGTGGAAGATAAAAGAAACCGTCGGCAAGTTGAAAGTATCTCCGATCGAGATTAATTCCTCCGTGAGATTCAATCACGTTCTCCCAGGAAGTTACACCGGAGATCGTAAAAAAATTCTTCGAAGCCCCAACAAAATCTTCGATTGATCGAACTGCTTGAATATCTTCTTCTCGATTTTATGTCACGTTAAATCAATTACATGTATTCGATCAGAAAAAAACAAAAAAACGACGAAATAGTTCGTCAATTATTTCACCGATATTTCAAACAACGACGACGACTGTGCAACAATCGACAATTCCCCGACAAGCGACACGAGTGAGAGAGGGGAGGATTGTTTCGAAAGACGACGACACGCGTGACAGCGTCCCGTCTTTTCACGTCGATGCGTTTCCGGATGCAGTCCAAGTGGCACTGAGAGAACGAGCGACGTTTTTCGGAGGTCGCGTCGAGTGCGCGCGTTATCCGGATCCCGGGCACTCGAGCGATACACACCCCGCCGGTGGCTCGCCAACGGTTGGCTCGGCGCGTAGCGAGAGATGGAGAGGGGGTGGCTCGTTCAGCGGTTGCGAGGGGCGGGGCGAGGCGCGGGCCACGCCCACCGCGCGGCGCCTCGTTCGATTCAATTAGGAAATCGAACGGGTATCGAGCGGAGACCGGGACCAAGTCCACCGCCATGTCGCATCGTATATGCGATATAATCGTGAATATTATTTTATTCAGTCTCCATGGGAATTTATTTTTCCGCTCTTTTCCAATTTTCTTCAATTCTTTTTGTCTATTTTCTTTTTTTCTTTGCAGTTGTCTGTATACGTAGCTTTCGATGGTAGTTGGACGGTGGAACGACTGTTAATTGGACATTTTGGAGCGAGAGATGTTTGTTGGACGATTTTGAGAGCGAGAGAACGTTTGTTTTCGAGATATTGCACAGAGTGGTCTGATAGAAGTTGTGTATTTTGGAAATATCCGTGGAAATATGCCGAAAATTCGACAGTGAAATATGTATTTCGCGGAGAGTGTTTATTGTTGAGATGTATTTTAATTAGATGGTCGTATAGAATTTATCATTTCGGAGTATGAGTATATCAGTAATTGGAGAAATGATAGAAATTTCGAGAAATCGGAGTAATAGACGATCCGAAAATTCCATTCTTAAGGTACACATCTTCCGTACCATTCCGATCTTCTTCGGTTTATAATTAAACACCAGAGAAAATCGCGTGCATCCGTTCAACTGCAGAAAATTCCCGGAACATCGGCTCTGGAATATCCTATTTTTAAAATTCGGCTGTGTACTTTTAATCTGAAGTGAGAGGAGCTCTCGAGTGGCTTTCGATAAAGGTCGCTACAATTAGCGGCAAAAAGGGCTGAAAATAGTATCTATCGGTCGGCGCACGATCATCTCCTTCGTGTGTTGCATTTTTTTCTTCTCGTTCTTTGCATCGTTGTCAGCGTCGTTTCTTAAACTTCACTTAGAATCTGATTCGATATGCTTACTCTTCTCTGTGCTTAATTTTTGTAACTTGAAATTTGACTTAAAGACGCATTTTACGAAGCGTGTAAAAATTTCGAATTAAATATGTAACCGTATAAAGTGTGTAAAAGTTTGAAAATTCTACGGTCTGAAAATCTTCGAACTCTGCAATCGCGTTGTTTCGAATCGAGAAATTTTGTACTGCTGCAATTCCACAGTTTTGTGAAATGAGGATTCCGTAATTCCAGATGTTGCGACAATTTCGGGACTCCGGAATTCTGAAAGTCTTTCTCGCAATTCCATCGTTCGGGAATTGGAAAGTTTGAAAAGTTGAAAACTGGAGAATTCGAATATTCGGAACGTTGAGAATTGGAAAATTTGAAAAATTGAGAATTCTCGAAAATTCGAAACGTTGAGAATTGGAAAATTTGGAAAATTGAGAATTCAGAAATTTGAAAACTGGAGAATCCGGAAATTCGTAACGTTGAGAATTGGATAACTGGAAAACTAGACAATTGGAAAATTCGAAAAGCTGTGAATTCTAAAATGGGAAAACCGGAGAATTCGAAAGTAACGAAAATTGGTAAACTTAGATATAAATAAAGAAATACGACGTTGAAAGGTAAGAAATGTCCAGTGGCTTATGAACGAGAGAGTGTATGTGAGTTTATCTCGGTTTTTCCCAGGGCCGACGGTTCTCCGCGATGGCAAAAAGCACGATCTGTCAGCGCGCGTTAACATCAACGCGTCGTCGCTCGACTTTTTCCGTCAACTTTCCTCTCGACTCGATGCCCGACGAATTAATATTCGTATCTGCAGGATTCGAACGAGCGATCCGGCGTGTTCGGAGTCGATTTCATTTGACAAAACGTCTCAATTATCTTGCGCTACGTCAAAAATTGTGCGCTAGAGAAGCGTTTAATTTTACCCAGCCGAAGGGAACGACATATTTTATTTCGCGATTCGTACAATTTGTAAATTAAAAGTAGGGAGAGTTCCCCTAGCGCCGGACGCTTGAGGTCTTTCTTAAGTAAATCTCTCTACCTGTGCACACGCGACTGAAACGCGTAGAAAACTTGTTTTCATTCCTTTTGTCTCCTCTAGGATATACGCAGAACAACGGGTCGGTAGCGTTTCAATTATTGCAGATGTAACTGATGTTCGATATTAGGTGCCGTCCGACGCAAAGGGAACTCCCCTGTATCATTGGTTTGGATACAATTGTAATTCATCGCGGAAGATCAAAGTGAGAAAAATAAAAAAAAAGACAATTCGAAACAGAACTTAAATTAGATATAGCTGATAGTTTTCAAGTGTGTGGTAGGGCAGAGTTGCCTAATACGAGACCCATTTCTTAACGAAGTCATAACTGTCGACTAAGGACACTTTTATTCAAATTCAATGCATGTTTTAAAAGTACGATACGTATTCCTTTGTAAGGTACTGGAATGTACGGTAAAGAAAATTCGGCTCCTTCGTAATAAAATAACAAGGAAAATTATTCAAATACGCATACTTAAAAAATGGGTTCCTAATATGAGAAAACTATTTTTTCTATCTTTTTTCACACTTTGGGCGTGTTAAATCTGTTTCTTCAGCAGCACAGGCTTGGTGGGCTCGCCGGTAACACTTTGTACGCTAAAGCAAAATTGGGTACCTAATATGAGACTCTTCTTATAATAGGAACTTTCGAATAGCTTCGAGATTAAGTCTTCGTTATTTAACGATACGCAACTGGCAAGCCTTAAACTCCATTGCATGCACTATACAACGGTGTTTATGAAAATGATTATGAACTTACTATTTTCGAGGTATTTGAAATTTAATCGAACCGTTTGAAAAACTTTCTGCAACGTATTGCACAAATATGCTTGTCGAAGGCGCTCAATTGATTTCGATCAAATTTCATACTTAATTTGATAATTAACGCGGTTAATTACGGAACAAAACAGCATCGCTACGACATTCGAGAGTTCTGCAACGGAGGTATGCTGGGTTCTCGTATTAGGCTACTTTACCCTACTTTTCAAGAAAAAATTCTGGTAAACGTAAAGGTATCTGGCATTTGAACAAGTAGTTCTAATTTTTCTTTCGCATTCCATCGACGATCAGTCGCAATTCCCACCGACAATTATTTTCCGGAGTAGAACAGTCAAATATATTCCTAAACAGAGCGAAAGAAAGGGGTAAGGTTTGAGGTTAGGAGGGTGTGACGAGTGGTCGTCGAAAAAAAAAAGGTTACTCCTCGCTGTTGCAACAATTAAGAAACCCTTTTTGTCCGGTAGCCGACCCGAATCTATACACAGCGGCTCGTTGTTGACAGTAGGGGTGAGGAGGAACACGGTCCCTGATCTGGGTTAATAAAAATTCGAACGGTGTCGCGTTTCAACTCTCCGTTCCTGAAATCATCTTCGAATCCTCTGAGAACCCGGGGCAAAAGGGTAAAAGACCTTCGTTCCCGGAAGGAATCAGCCTTAAATCATCTTCGTCGTCGTAAAGTTCGCTTTGAACGTGTCAGATCTGTCTGTTCGCGTCTCCTTTGCAACGTGAAATCGTGCTCGTCGCGAAGCTCGACTCGATTGGTAAACTAGGAAACTGAATTGCCGACGGTGTGGAAAATTGGAGAAAATTTACTCACGTTTAAATTCAAACGTAAATACATACGTCTAACGAGAAATTGCACAAAAGGAACGACTCACGTGAGGACGAGGAACAAAGGATTCGTTATTTTTCAATAATTAATCATTTCGAAATTAAGGCATAAATAATGTCTAACGAAAAATTGCACAAAGAAACGACTTTTAAATTTCATTTTTCTCGGTTTATTTGACTTATTCGAGTGCTGCAACGATAAGTATTGTTACAACGATGTGTAATAGTGAAAATTATTTTATTTCTACGAAAATATTCCGTAGGATACAATTTAGTTATTTTTCTCACTTCTTCGTCTTTTCTTGAACCTTCGTTAACGAGCAATCTACGAAGCTAATCTGTCCACACGCGTGCAGTTAA